TTTCTTTCTGATCATAGGAAAATCCTAGACCACTCTTTATCTTAGCAGGGATCTGAACATTGATGATCTCAGAGACCTTGATAATTGTATGATTGTACGAAAGATAATGACCAACCCAAAGAATTTTAGTTGAAATCATGATGCAATATATTAGAACGAATAAACTATTGTTCGTCTTCATGCATGTGAACAGATGTCAATAGATTTTGGTAGTAGATAAAAACTGGAGGTGGAATTTTAACAGAGTAAATTACGTGTAAAACGTTATAAATAAATATTTCAAGAAAAAAATCAAGGGCGTAAATATGTAAACGTTTTTAAATGACTAATTTAGGTTTGAAAAATAACAACAATGATGCATTATTAAAGACAGTGCCAAACCAAGCTCCATGGTCAAATATGAATAACAATGAAATTAAAGTTATAATTTTACACCAAATGACATTTGGTCTAGCGGTATCGTTGTCTATGGTCTCTTAGGAGGCCAGAGGTTCAAACCTCACCAAAGATGAGGATGGTGTGAGTTTATTTTTTGCATTTACCGTATATAAATATTATATACTTAAAAAGAAAGGGCACACTAGCATCAATTGAGATTGTTAAAATATGTGTTAAAAAGACCTATACGTATTTCGATTGGGATTACATCGCTAGTTATAATCATTCTATTTTTCGAAGCATGGCAATATGACTTTCACTTGAACAGATAATAAATCAGAATATTTAAATGATAACCAAAATACGTTGTAAATCAGAATATTTCAATGATCAATAAGTCAAAACTACTTGTTTATGGTATAAACGTCACTAACATTGGAATACAGTAATATCATACTTACTAAATATTTTGCGATGATTGATGCAGAGTATTCTTATCTCAGTTAACGATGTTAGTCAATCAAGTTGTAATTGTAAAATTTTGCGATATCATTTATCAAAACATCACATCTGCATTCAAACGATATTTAAGGGCATAATTGTACTGCGCCCACTTTGTTTATGACGATGCCATTTAAGTCTATGATGTTCACGACTCAGACTTTAACTTTTACAACATACTCCTCGAACAAGTCATAAGGATCATATCATGATATGCATTAAAATTGCATTTTACGTCATCATCTAATTTAGCAACTAATCTGTAGCTAACTGGGTTACAGATGGATTTGGTATGCTATCGGTTTCTTCTTCTTCTTAATATCGTGTACCAGTTAATTATAACTGCTACACAAAATTTTATAATGTGTATCAACCAACAGTATCTGGTTCCAACTTTTTTTTAGCTGGTACTGGTTTTATATATGCATTAAAAATTGCAATTTATTTAAATTTTGAGTGACATTAATTTTAAGTTTAGATGTAACATAAGTCATGCTTAAATATTTTAATCTGCCATATATAAAGCTTTTAACTGTAAGCAATAAAACATGCAAACATTTATACATTTAGACAAAAAAAAAGCTTAAGGTTACAATGTTTAATATAAAGTACAATATAAAGGCTAAGGGGTTGTTTGTTTACCTTTTAATAGTTTAACTAAGAGTTAGCATATGATTCGTTAAGAGGTGAATTTTGTTTGACAAAAAAAACCCCTTTTAATGGTTCTAAAATTATCTGAATGATTTTGCATCATGAGCATCCCTTAACCATTCAGCGCCCTAATTTCATTTTAAACAATTATATTTCATTTTACACTATACCATGAGAACTTTTTAATCATTCTACATCGAATCATTCAGTAACTACCAAACAAACATTCAAATAAGTGTTTCATAACTAACATATCCACAAGCCAAAGTACCAACAAGTGTTTTTGGACATAGCATTAAGCATTAGTTTAAAGTTTGGACAAAATTGTTGCTTGTAACCTCATAATATGGGTGTTAAAAAAAACAGTTGGACCGTTCAAACCGGTCGAATCAAGTCAAACATGACTCTTTTTGGCGGTTTGAACGGTCTGACTTGGAAAATAGCAAAACCGGCCAGTCCAATCCGGCCTGCCGTCTGGAACCTTTTATGGGCAGTTTGGACCAAACCGACCGCCAAATGCATACACACACACACAGATACACACACACACATATATATATATATATATATTAGTATTAGCAAGCCCAACTTTTTTAACTTATGGGCTATGACTCAAATATATCTATAAGCCCAACATAAATCCTAACATCTAACATAATCAAATCCAAATGAATCGAGGCCTAGAAATCCCTAAACCAATAAATATATCGACACATTTGACATTGACGATCTCCAAATTTTGAAATCCCTCAAGAACTCTACCAATCCATCGATCTTTCCTAATCCATGGTTTGATTTCGGCGCACATCGTCAAGCCATTACAGTTTGGTTTGTGGTCTAAGGGGTCAAACCGCCCAAACCGAACCATGAACACCCATCTCATAACTTTAATTTTAAGCATTTGGAACTTAAAATAAATATGTTTATTATTAATTAATAATTAGTTAATAAATCGTTACCACGATACTTTTGTAGTACACGACCTTTAATATTGTGTATCAACCAGATTTATATATTTGATACCAGTTTAATTGCTACGACTAATTTGACTGGTTTGGTTTGATACAAAATTGACACTCCTAAAATGGGTTGCTTTGTATGGAATAGAATGGACTAAATGCATGGAATAATAAACATATTTCATAACTCTCATTATTATTATTATTGTACTTTCAATTTTTCTTATTACAACAATATATTAACTTATTGCACTCTGGAAAATATATCTATTATAATAATGGTTAACCTGTTACCTTTTAAGCCGGATAACCATTTTTGTTTTGTTTATATGACTTCATTATGGGTGATGTGGATAACATATCATTTTAATTACATGACATTGACATACATTAAAAAACCTTTAAAAAATATTTTTAGTGGTTTTCTCACGCTCCCAGTTTACCTCCCGATGTATCATATCACACCCAGAGTATGGTTTTCATCACTCTTTTAATATTATAGAATAAATATATATTTTTAAACAAGTATGATATATATATATATATATGTATATATATACACACAAACAATCACATGCTAATTTACATTAGTGGGCCAAAAAAGGGGTGCAGACGACTTTTGTCGTGACCTCATGTAGTAGGGCAAAGTCGCATGAATCACATTTGATTTTATACGTGACATTGGTGTAAAATCACATATAATTCAACCATTTTCTTATTTTTTCTAAATAGGTACGGTATTAACCATACTCTATCTCTCTACACACGCTTGTATGTGTATATATACATACACACACACACACATATATATATATATTTATATATATAGTCAGGTTTATATGAGAATGATAACTAAATAAGAAAATGATATAACGAATATGGACCACACAATTCATTAAACAATACTTTTAAATGAAATTCCATAAATAAATCAATCTAAGACATTTATTTAAGATTTTACTTTTACCAAATTTGTGATTTTAATGTGATATAATTTAAAAAATTATTTTATATTTAATGTATTTTAAAATATACATATTTAATTTTCATTTTAAATAATTTATTTTTTATTAAAAAAATTCTAATATTCGTCAAAATCACATGTGATTCATAATTAATTGATTCTTTTTCAGTTTTTTTCCTTATAAGATGTGATTGAAAGTGTGAAAATAATGATTCAAATTAAACATTGAAAAAGAAAAATAATGAATACATAATCTAATGTGATGTATAACATAACACATTTAATATGTATACAATCACTTGTGCTTCAAAACGAGATTCATATTTTACAAATATCACATGTAATGTTGTAGATAACTTATATTTTCTTCAATCAATATCACATATAATATATTGATGAAAATTAGTGATTTTTTTTTGGATATAAAAATGTTGATTAATTGTGAATATCACATGTATTTTTGACTAAAATTGTAAAAAATCTTAAGTAAATTACTTCAATAAAAATAAAAAACCAAATCACGCTTATTTTAAATGTTATAACTATTTAAAAATAATTAAATGAAAAGTTAATCATACTAAAATCTGAAAAAAATGTAAAAAAAATCATAAATAAATATTTTAATTAAAAGCATTAAATAACCTTTATAGAAATAAATGAATTTCCATATATAACCCGTAAGCAAAAAATGACACATGTTTTTTTGAACGGTTTTAAGAAAGCTGTATTTAAGACATTATTCAAATAAATGATTGACATAGAATTATTCTCTTATTTTCTTTTCTAGTTATCATTCTCATATAAACCCCTTTATTCTTTATCTTTTATCTATATATTTCAAGATATATATATATATATATATATATTTTAACATTTAAAAAATATATTAGTAACATAGATTGGGTTCTATAAATCTTCTTAATATTGTTATATTACTTAATAATTTAAGAGTTTTTTTTTTATTAATTTAATATATTTTATTAAAAAATATATGATACAAAAAAAATATTAAAGCATCTGGTTGCAATATGACCTGAGACTAAGAGACTGATTTTTCAAAATGAAGTACTAAAAGTTAAAATCTGCAATATATATATATATATATATATATTCATCTCCAACAAATTTCCTATTTTGAAGAATCAAACATTAATTATATATAATATTAAAATATTATATTTATATATTAAAATATTATTTCTCTTTCTAAATATTTATTTTTAAAATTTCTTATTGATTGTCTTACTTGATAATTATTTTATGATTTAAAAAAAATATCTTTCTCTCTCCAACTTTCTCAATTTTGAAGGTAGTTTTGAGAAAATTGTTAAAACAAAATATTGACTCAAAATTCTCATTTTTTTTTTCATTTTAAAGGAACCGTTAGAGATGTTATAATAAAATAAATTTAAAAATGCGTTATTATAATAAAAATGTCACATTTATAATGATATAATATCAAAATAAATTTTCGTTCCCTCGCGATAATTTGCACAAAAGATTCCGCGAGGTCTCCTTATTTAAATGCTCATATTCAAGCCTACTCCTCAGTGAGTTCGTAAAACCTTTCTCAACTTTCAATCGCCAGCTGCAAGTATCGCAGGAGCACCATAGTTGTAAGTAATTCATTAGTTGTGGTTTGTTCCAAGTTCAAGTCTTCAATTGTTCGTCAATTGTACTATTTAGCGTAAAATTTCACAACTATACGCTTAATTTTTCGCCCCTTACACGAAAATCTAGGGTTTATTTGGTTAAAAATTTGAAGCTAAGACTAAATTTACCTGTTTATATATGTTTTGTGATGTTTTGATTGATTTTGTCTATCTGTTCTGGTTCAGGAAAGGCAAGTATGAGGTCTGCAAAGGAGGACGTGCCATTAAGGCAGAAACAAGTGAGTAGAAAGTTGAATTTCCGTTTTCAATTCTGTTGTTGTGCGAATGATTGCGAATTCCTGCTCATCAGTTGGTTCGATGCTTTATTTTAAAATTATTTCGCCACTAATATTGTTGTGAGAAATCGTGGATGGTGTTGAGTTATCGTACTGTTAGAAGGTCTTTTTCAGTCTGATCATTATCGTGTATTTCGTCTTGTCTGATGTGCTTGTGCGTAGTCTTCCTGCTATTTGTTTCGTTTGCTGGTATATACTTTTTTAATCATTGGGTTGCTACACTTCGTTTGATTTTTTGATGGATACTCTTCTTAAGCATGGTCTAGTATGGGCAGGAACAGAGAAAGCTTCTTGTCTAGGTATTGATTGTTTGTAAATCATTCCATATTTAGTTCCACTGCTCTAGAGCTTCGAGGACTTGGGTGATTCTATTTTCCATCCATGATGGTCTTTTATTGAAGGGATATCATCATGACGCTGCCCAACGACTTCATCATGGAGATCTTTTAATTACTGTGAAGATATTTATTGCTTCTTAGGAGGCAGGCTGAGAAGGGCGTGGGTTACCATTTTTGAAGACATGATCTCATATAGAAGTGCGTGGTAGACTAAGATTAGGGTGACAGATTTTGTATGCTGACTTGTGGTCACTAGTGGTTGGGGGAGGGGGGTTGGCCAGTTGGGGTGGTCGAGGGTGGGATTTAGGGGGGTGGGGTTAGAGAGCCGACAACTAGGTATCAGAGTCCAGGGCTGGTAAGCGGGCCTTTTTGCTGTGGTGGTCTTACGTAGCTGTTGTGCAAGTTTGGTCATGAAGGAGCCTGTGGTTCTCTTACTTGCTCTATTGTTTTACAACACCGTGTCATTAGGTCATTTAGCAGTTTGTACTTCGCTGTTTGCTTTTTGGTTCTTGTCTAAATTATTTCATGTTGTTTTGTTTCTACCTTGGGGCCTGTCCCAAGCGTTTGATTGGGGGATCTGTTGTTATTTTTCCATTTAAATCTATTCTTGCCAGAGGTGTTGTCTACTTGCTATTTTTTTTCTTCCAAGCATCTCTTCTCTTCAGAACTTCAATTCGTGCGATTCTTTAGGCTTTCTTTTGGGGTTGCTTAAGAACTTCTCTACTCTTCAGGGTTGAGGAAAGGTTTGTGTACATTCTACCCTCCCCAAACCCCACTATGTGTGGATTTACTGGGTTTTTTTAATTTGGTTACTTGCGTGGGATTTATGGATTCAACCACTCTGTGTGGGATTGACCAGGTTTCTTCTTACCATAATTATATAACGCTAGATTACATGGTGGAATGTTTTTCGAATTTAAGTTCGTCTTGGACCATGGAATCCAAAGCAATTTTCTATTTTCTTGGAACAAGAATTTGATTAGTTAAAAGTTTGTCGTAAACTAGGGGAAGTGACACCAAGAAATTTTGAACTTTTGAATATATTGACCTAGGATATCTAAGGAAACTCACGAGTAATATGTGACCACAAATAGAATAATTTTCAGAAAGTTTAATCCTGGGGAATATATTAAATGGTGCATTCCCAACCCAACACCAATACCTACTTTATGCATCAAATTAACATCAAATCACTCCAACCCAACACCAGTTCTTACACCATTTTGGTGTTGGTGAATTGTATATACCAAATTTGGTGCTTGTGAATAGTATGACACCAACTTTGGTGTTATACTATTCCCTTACACTAATTTAGTGTTAAACTTTCTTTAATTACAGTATGGTCCTTCAACTTATATATATGTGTGTGGGTTATAGCTTATTTGATTGTAAATGGTATTTTGTTAATATTATATTTATAAATTATATTTTTTATTAATTCATGATATATATTTAATTTTATTTGTATATTTCTAACTTATTTACATAGTTGAATATAGTTTTAAAAATATGAAACACAATAACATATTTAAAATTAAAAATAAAATTGATGACTTGAATTTGTAAATGACTAATAAATTATAAGGGTAGTATTGAAAAATCTATAGAGGTTAGGAATAAGGAATATACTTGGAATGTTCTATTTGGTGTTAAAAATGGTGTGATGGGTTGGGGATGAATCACTGTTGCATCATTTTAGACCATATTGGTGTAATAAATGGTGCAAACAATTGGAGATGGTCTAATTGATGCATTGACACAACATCTCGGTTAGAGAAACTTACCTATGGAAAGCTTATGCCAATCAAGGAAATGATCTATATCAGTTATTACACGTTATTCTTACTCCACTCATAAAATTCTCTCTTCAAACTCTTATGCTTCTCATGGGAAAATCATATCTTAAATTTGTTGGTCAAGAAATCTGGTGTATGGTGCTTTCCAACATTACCATTTTGAATTTCAACTTAATTTTTTTTTTTTTTTTTTCAATTTGGAGCTTTTAGAACCTTAAATTAACATTCAATGCTAACCATACCCGTCGATATAACAAACAAGTGAATATTTCAGGACAAAATCTATGAAATTTTTTAAATTTGCATAATTATATGTTCAATAAGAGCATTCGTCCAGTTTGTTTATTGTAGTTAAGACTTGGATAGTTTATTCATGATCTCACTCATTGGAATTTTGCTCATTTTTTCATTGAGTTTATCTTCTCTCTCCACTCCCACACTCGTTGGATATGTTGTACACACATACACAAGTTGCCGCCAACGTAACTCATTGATGGTTGCCTAGATATTTGCATGTAAATCTACACACACATACGCACTCTTGCACCAACGTAACTCATTCATGTTTGTTATTTCAATTGCTTCGACATGCAGCCGATTGATTTAGTTTCAGCTGTCAAAGAGTTACATATGCTGAGTTCTCAAGAGCTTGGCAAGTTAATTAGAGATGCAGACAATGATACTATTCAGTGGACTACCAGCAATGGATCATCAAATCAGGTTGGTGGATTTGCATGGAATCATATTATCTATCATTTAACTTTTGCCTCGATTACTGCTTGCTCACTGTCTCTTGCCAATGAGATGCAACTTGTTTCAGGTCGATGTGGAAAACCTAGCAAGATTTTTGGCATTGCACCTAATTGCAAAGCTTCTCTCATCCAAACGAGATGAAGAATTTTTCAGATACTTGTTAGGCGGGATTCGACTGTTGCATGGCTTGTGTGATCTTGCACCTCGCAATTCCAAGATTGAGCAGGTAAATGGATTAATTCTTTTCATTTCTTGTGAGATAAAGGAGGCATTGCTCAAGTGTGTTTTTGCTGTTCGATGCATTGGAAGTTGGGCACAGTACTATCTTTTCTGATTGGCTCATATTTGAATGCATTAACCTGGTGGGAAGGCTGTATCTTACGATGGTAATGGCACAGCAAAGAGAGGACCATAAACAAAAAGAAAAGAAAAGAAAAGAAAAGTGAGTCATGCAAGGAGCTTCAGATCTGCCTTTGGGCTAAGTTAAAAATAAATTGAAAATGTTTTAGCATCCATTTTTTTAAACAATTTGTTTTCTAGAACTCTTTCAGTTGGTTATGTGTGATTTAATGCACATATTCTCACACTTCAATGAACAACATCTGATCAATGAATCTCCATTTTCCCTTTTAATCTGCACTGGTATAGTTTGAAGAATTTGGGGCATTCTTCTTCTTTTGGAAGAGCAGATCAACTCTGTGTTTTCACTGTATTTTTCCATCACCATACAACCTTTTGTTTGAACCAACACATGGTAGAAATGTTTTGTGCATCTTTCTTGACAAGGACCTTTTACACTTGCTGTGATATTAAGAAAAATTCAGAAAGAAATTGATCAGGAAGCATATATTTGCAACTCTCACAAAGTCATTGCTGTTAATCCCTAGTCATTACCCACATTGACTTGCACAACTTCTATCTAATTGCTGGTGTCAGCAGACATGCTTTTGTCTCCCTTTCAATTGCTTGCCCTTGTGCTACTCTTAAAGATGCCTTATACCATCTGTCTTTTCTTTTTCTTGCTCATGTATGTTGCCTTGACGAAAAAGTGCTCTACATGCTCTGCTATGAGTGCCACTTTGCAAGTCATACTATTATGTCCTCCATTTCAATAACCTATTCTTCACGATACAGGTTTTGCTTGATGACGTGAAAGTATCTGAACAGATGTTTGATTTGATCTTTTACATGATCATTGTTCTTGGGGACTCTAAACAGGTAAACTTAATCCATCATTTACATAATTTTAGCCCGCCCTTTACCTTTATTGTTCTGCTCTGACACATTTTTATGAACTAGAAATTTATTACTTCAAGTCATCTGGTTCTGCTGCATTCAGCACTGTTGGCCTGCAGTCTATATCTGTTAACAGCGTTTGTTTCTTCACAATGGCATGAGCTTGCACTAGTTCTGCTTGCTCACCCTAAGGTGACATGTTCTTTACAACATCTATAATCTACAAATTACGGGGCAAGCAATAATATTTTCTCTTATGAGTTGTTTCAGAATATGTCTTGGCATAGTTTTAGTTGATATGTATTGAAATCCTTTAACCGGAATGTGGCCTATGAATGTTTGACAGGTTGATACTTTTATGGCTGTAGCTTTTGCTGCTGTTCATATAGACATTCAATTTCTTCAAGCAAGGCTGTTGGCTCAATATACTGATGCTGGCATCCAGTCGAATCTTGCTGAAGTCAACCGTCTGTGCCAGCACTGTGAGGCTTCTCTACAGTTTCTTCAGTCGCTTTGCCAACAAAGGTTCTTTCGGGAGCGCCTGGTTAAGAATAAGGTTTTCCATTAAATAAATGTCCACATCTTGATGTAAAATTATAAAATGTTATGGTATCCCTATGTCCCTAGAAGCTTGGGCCAGATGATATGACACCCATTGATCCAAACCCAACACACGTCACAGACAAGAAATATGGTCTGATGTCAAGGTAGCATTGAAGTGGAGTGATGCCAGTCTTGGCTGGCATATTGCAAATTATGGTAAAAAAATGGCTGTCTATACTGTATTGCATTAATATTTTAATCGTACTTCCCCTGAGTCCATTACAGAGAATCCCTACAAGGGGACCTATTTAAATCTTCTCTTTCACAATTCAAAAAGCAATTTGGTTTCAAATTTATTGTTATAAACTGGTGTGACTGCACAAGTTATTACTTTTTGCACAGGATTCTTTCTACCAAGACATGTACATAATAACACTTCACATGCTACCTGTCTTCTGTTAATGATTGTAAATGCTACTTTGGTTTCAGAAACGTCTCAAGCTCTATCCTAGAAATTGGAATAATATGCAATGATCATATTGTCCAAGTATTAATCTTCTCTTATATTTTCCAAGCATGTCAACCAGCCGGAATTCTTTCATTTTTAGATGCTTTCTAAGTTGGAATAATTATATGATGCTTTTTGAATGTAATTCTTCTTTCCTTCAGGAACTATGTGGAGAAGGTGGCATCCTCTTGTTGGCTCATGACATCATGAAATTGCCATTCTGTGAAGAGTCATATCTTATGGCTGTGGTCTCTAGGCTGAAATCAAAAGTCTTATCTATTGTAAGATCTAGTTATAGACCATGCTTTATGTAGACATTATATGAAGCTTAAGTTGCTTGAAGTCCACTGCGGGATTTCACCTATGTTTGTTCATTAATGGTTTCATTAATAGATACTTCCTCTTTCTGCAGCTGCTGCATCTTTGTGAAGTAGAAAGTGTGTCTTTCTTAGATGTGGCCGCCAGCACTACTGGGGGCTTGAATTTGGCAAAGTCTACTATATTCCAGGTTAAATTCAATATATTTGAAGATTAAAATTTATTTTGTAATATTAGGACATCCAGTTTAGTGGATCTTCTGCTTGTTGTCATTACATTCATCTCCATTCTGATATTCACATTGTTGTTTGGCTATCAATCACAATCATCCTCCTATATCCATGTGTCTGACGCACAGTGATAAATGGATATCAAGGGAGTGTTATAAAAGTTAGGGCCTAGCTAGTCGTTTTTATTTTATTCTTATAATGTAACACCCAACTTTCAAGATAGCATTTTCGTGAAATTTCATTAAAAATGTTATCTTGAAAGTAGGTTGTTACAGTTGGTATCAAGGCTACGTTTTTAGCTTAACCTTCAACTTGTTTCTTATCTTGAATAACACCCCTGGCTTGGTTACTTCTTTTATTTACTAATTCATTGAGTCGTTTTGTTATTCTCTATCTCATATCAAGATTAGATGCCTTATGTGCTCACTGTTTTACTTGATGATATAGGTCCTTGAATTGCTGAAGACCATGTTTCGTGGAGATCTCAATGGACTTGCTGCTTTTTCGGACAAAACCTATCCAAGGGGACTTCTGCAACTCAATGCAATGCGATTGACAGAAATTCTCTCTGATGATTCTAATTTTCGATCTTATATCACCTTAAACTTTGTAAGCTTTTGGCAAGTTATTGTTATATTGATTCTTTATGATCCATATGCCTGCTTTCATTTTGGTCTGCATGTTGACAATTTAATATGGTGATGTTCACTTTAAGAGACTGTTTCAGTGACCAGTTCCTCATGGAACAACATTTCAAATTGTATACATGTCATTTATTGAATTTGCAATTTAATGTCCTTTTTCCATGCAGACTGAAGTTCTGACCATGATATTTTTGCTACCACATGCGGAGTTCTTGTCTAGTTGGTGTTCCTCTGAATCTCCTCCTTCTGAAGAAGATGCTACTCTGGATTATGATTCCTTGGCAGCAGCTGGATGGGTTTTGGGTGTGCTTCCATCATCAGACGTTCCTGAATCTACTTTTAATGCTTGTCGTGTTCCTCGGACTTCCTATGCATATCAAAGAACATCTTTACTGGTCAAAGTCGTAGCAAATCTCACTTGTTTTATTCCTGATCTATGTAAAGGTGAATACTTTAACCGTTTGTTTTCTGCATGAGATCTTTGTACGTTTATCGGGTGTAAATGTGTAATATGTATTTGTAACTCGTTCTTTGTCATATTTGTCTAGTTGCTTTCAGTTCTGGAGTTTGAGGTATTCACGTGTTCTTAACCAAACTGCTTTTCATTCACAGAGGAGAAGGATCTCTTCCTTAACACATTCCTGCAGTGCTTGCAGAAGTTACTTCCTAATTTACTATATGGAGCTCCAAATGATGCTGAAGCTGAAAGAGCTGCGATCGTTATCCAAAACCTGCGTATCTATCGTTCCAACAACTCCCTTAGTTGACTAAAAACATATGCTTTTTTGCTTCATAACAGAACGCTTTTTCTGTGCAGGTTCCCTATTGATTCATGCTGGATCTTTAGTTCCTGGATTTCTTAATGAGGATGATGTACAGCTGCTTAGGTAATTGCTTTTCCTGAAGTCAGCTGCTTTGGACGTTAGTAAATTACAAATATCTTCCTCATTATCATGGATATATCTTGAAATTATTTGGTAATTGTGTGCCAGACAAATAACCAGCACATAATACTTCGTTTTAAACAGTAGAATGTTTCTGATAGGGATAGTATTTGTGACACGCTAAAAGTAGTGGTCTATCATTGATGCAATCTCACCCAACAAGAATGGGTACGTTTTGTCGGATCGTTCTACTGGTTGGTGCTATTGTGTTTGTGGTGGAAGCCTGACCCATTGCCTAAGGAAGCAAGAACCTTGGTATAGGAAAAACTGCCACAATCAACCCACCAAGTTGATTGATAAGTTTTGAACGCACAAATTACATTATAACATGTTAAGTTATAAAGTTCACGAGTTAAATATTCAAAAGCAAAGTATATATTTCTTTCTTGGATCATTTCCAGTGCTTACAAAACAACCTATTTATAGGGTTCAAAAGACACACGAAGGGACTCATGAATTGAAGATACAATTTTAATTAATCAACTTGTCTCTTAGTGTACTTGTTTATTCTCCCTTATTGCCCCACTTGCTTAATTAAGACCCAGTAGCTTCAATAAGAGTAATCTGGTCCATGACTTGTAATTCAACCATGGAATGAGCTTGATCTCTCTGAATTTCATCAACCAAGTTCAAAAAGGTTTCTTTGATCTTTTAGTTCTGTCCTCTTATAATGGGTTGACTTGGAACCTTCAAATAAATTTGTTATCGGAACTGCATGTATCCAGTACTCCAATAACTAAGTTACTGAAATTGATTTGTTGCTGTATGAAGTGGTTGCTTGAACTTGTAGGGCACGGTGATATTTTGAATGTGTAAAGTTACTTGTAATCTTCGTTTTCACTTTTTTTTTTTTGCATTTGGTTTGTGTAGGTTGTTCATTGAGCAATTGGAGCGACCAATTAATCGTGAATCCAATATTGACCGAGTTAAAGTAAAATTTTCATCCTTTGCCTTTGTACATTGTCAAGTCTTTATTCTTGTCCATTTCTATGCAACTGGGAGCACTGCTTTATGGTTCCTTATTAACAGTTCTGTGAAATTAAATGTTCCACCGACTCAAGTGGCCCAAAATATGCTGGTGAACGAACCTTTAGGACATCATATTTGAAAATTCATCATCTTTGGGAAGGTTATTAGGGCTGAACATTAGTGAACTTCTTCAGGTGCATACTGGCAGTTCTGTTTAGGTTATTCATGTAGATCTGGTGAATGATGCATAGCAATAACTATTCACCTGTACTGGAAAATTACAAAAAAGGGATGTTGACTGTGGTAGGGCCCCTTTATCTTTAAGATAGATGTAGGGGCCGTTTACCAAACGCTTACTCGGCAAGCGCTTACATGTCACTTGCCTTACTGGATGAACATGGCAAGGACCGAGAATCTTACCCGGTAAGAGCGATGGCAAGGACCGAGAGTCTTACCCCATAAGTGAGGGTGACGACTCTTACTCGGTAAGCGCTTAGCGGGAAACTTGTTGCATACGATGCCGTTTTGATGGACTAGAATCTTACCCGGTAAGGTAAATGTTTGGGTAAATGGCCCGTTGGCATGGTTGTTGAAATTTCAATGCCTGATGGGGTGGTCTTCAGCTGTCTTGGAACAGCCAATTTGAATGTAGTATCACATATATGAACGTTTTCTGTCACATATATGCTTGCAATCATGTAATGGCTGTGTATGGTATATGCAAGATCGTGAGTTTAATATCTTGGACTTTATTGCGTAGGAGGGTAATGGTCGAGGTCCAGACTCTCCAGATGCAGGCAGCAGAGGTGGTAACCATAACAAGGGCATGTCCGTTGATTCTGCTTTAGAAGAAGGGAACCAGTTAAATCTCAACGGAAATGAAGACCCATCTAATAGTTTGCCGAGGCAAGACCAGAGGACAGATGTGGCTCAAAATTTTGCTACCAGGGGTGTTCATGAAAGTGATGAAAATGCTCAGAACGTCGAAACTAATGGATTGGAGTCCAGCATTATGCAGGTAAAGAACTCTGTTAAGAAAATGAAAATTTAGATTTTTGCAACAATCAAATGATCATATCAGAGTTGCTGAGGATGAAAGGATTGAAAACGTGCAGAGTGAGGAAAAGCAGTTAAGAAAAAGGAAGCGCAACATAATGAATTATATGCAAATAACCATGATCGAACAGGCTTTACAAAATGAGCCTGACATGCAGCGGAAAGCTGCCTCTATACAATTATGGGCTGATAAATTAAGTCTTCATGTATGTAAGCATTGCATCTTTTTAACTTAAGAAATACATCCTTTTACATTTTTCTGGTAGTAATAGTTTCTTTCCTAAGTTCCCAATTTTCATTTTGCAGGGTTCTGAAATTTCGTCCTCGCAGTTAAAGAATTGGTAAGAAAGTCTGTCCTTGTTTTCACATAAGCACTATATCTCGAGCCTATATGTTCTTCAGTTAAATTTAGTATTATGAAAGGTATTTATCATGGATTTTTTTTGAGGATATATGGATGTTAAGATTGCTGATTTGCTTCCTTGTTCCTATAAAGAGCTTTGCAAAGGTTTTTGCACCACAAAAACTTAAAACTGGCAGACATCACAAGGAAGTGTTTTTGGCTTTTTCTATGATTTTCTACCCTGAATTGTTATTTATAGCTTCATTATCATCGGACAAAAATGGAACTTAGGATTTTTTAATTAACTTATTATATTATTTTTGAGTAAACTTCTTGTTTGGTCCTTATGCTTTTTCGATTTCTTGTTATATTATTTTTGAGAAAACTGGACCCTTGGTCACTTTTAATTTCACCCCCACCCCATGAATTGCGCTTATCACGGGAATTGATCCGGTGCATCTTGGTGCACCGCATTGGTGTTGATCTTTAATTAGGATTGATTCAACGGTGGAGATCCCTTCTTACCTTCTCACTATGACTTCCATTCTCACCGGAACCCAACCCTATATGCACATGCATCGGTTTCCTGAGTTTCTTTTGTTCTTTGTTTTTGACAGGTTGAATAACCGTAAAGCCAAACTAGCCCGTGCAGCTGCTAAGGACATTCGTGTGCCATCTGGGGGAGACACTACTTTTACCGACAAACAAGGTGGCTCAGGAACCGATCCCGTGTCTGACTCACCCGAGAGCCCCGATGAATTTTTCGCCCCATCCCCATCTGCCCCCCAACTGCAAATTTGCAGCAATAGAAACCCGGAAGGTGTTTCCGTTAGGTATGAGCAAGGGCAATATGTTGTGCTTACAGATGGACAAGGAGAAGAGATTGGTAAGGGGTATGTGCATCAAGCAAGCGGCAATTGGTCTGGAAGCAATCTTGACGAATCTGGTTTGTGTGTGTTGGACGTTACTTATCTTAAGGTCGATAAATGGGCAAATCTTCCGCACCCATGTGATGCTACTGGCAACTCATTTGGGCACGCTGAACAAATTCTTGGATTAAAGAGAGTGTTGTGGGATTCCAGCAAACTTGTGCTACAGCAGAAGCCTAGATGACAACTGAATCATCGACTTCCGACATTTTTCTTGTCGGCAAGGTTCGTTGTTCAAATTTAACTTTAGTTTCTGGCTGCATATATACTCGTATATCGAACCTTGTTTCTTTTAATACCATATATGTCAAATATATGCAAAATAGGTGCTTGTTGTCAAATAATGCCCATGCAAAACTGTGCTTTATTACAGCTAGACGTATAAAAATAGAAGAAAACGTAACCGAAACAAGTTAAAAGGTCAAGTTAGTGAATTGTGGAAGGTTTTAGGGATTTAATTTAACATGGGTAGTATAATAATTTATCAATGTTGTTCCATCTCTTAAGGTTTTTGTTCCCCTTATTTTGGTGGTTGGTTTTTTTAATCAAAGTCTCCTATGAATAAAGATGTCTGTGTGGAAGATTGGAAAGATTTTTGTTTGGAAGAGTTTTTTTTTATGGATGAAAGGAGTGTGTTTTTTAATTGGGAGGACAGGTTTGAAAAAAACTTGACCTTCTGCATAAAACTTCCTCCTAGAAGCTTACTGAATAAACCACTTTCTATATCATTAAGCCACTGTCAAACCGTCATGTATAACTGATTGAATAAGCTGTGAGTCTCATGAAGCTTATTAAGCTAACAAACAGGTGGTCTCACAATCTAACGTTATGTTGCTCCAAATACGGGACAACAAGTTTTTGTTTTGTCCCACATACCAAACACACTGTAAAGACCCAAAGCTATCGGAAAAGGGACTCGAGAATTCTCATTGCCTCAAAACAGGAGTGTTGTCTCTTATGAAATAATAGATATTGTAGTAGTAGGACGTCCTCAGGAGATTGAAAAAGTTCCATATTATTTCATTTCCGCAAAATCATGCAAACCATTTTGGCACCGTTCCTATACGGCCTGACAGGTGTGGAAGCCATCGTTGTATACATCTTAGCTTCTCTTGTCGATCTTATCTGCAAACATATACTTTGATAGATGAAGTACCGCGTGAGAATAAGAGTTAAGATGAGAAATATAAAAAGGGATTTGGACCCTTTGATCACTTTTAATTAGTGTTAGATCTAACGGATCAGATTAAATCTCAAAATAATCCATGAGTTAGCTTTAGAGCCATCTCTCAACCACACTACAAAACACCAAATTTGCAAGTGATGGAATTCCAACCACACTTCAAAACACCAAAACTTTACAGGTTAGGAAGAGAGGAATATTGATGGACTTCATATTTGGTCTTTCACCATTCCCCTGTATAAATTTTGATGGCCTGCCAATTTTATTTTTATTTGTTTTTCAAATTTTAATATTTATTTTACAATACAACTGATGTTATATTTAAAATATGGTTTAATAATCGAACATGTTATTTTAATAATTTGGTGTTTTTTTTAGAGCGTGGTTGGAGTTGATTTTTTTGGTGTTAATGGACCTACCAGATTTGGTGTTTTTTTAGTGTCAAGGTTGGAGATGGTTTTAAAAGGGTATTATATAGGATTGATTCCAAGGGTGAAAATTCCTTTTTACCTTTCCCATGATAACTGCTATTCGTACTGGGAACCAACTCTACCTTGGTAATATCTGTAGCTTTTCTGGAAACATGAAATTCGGTCCTTAGATATATGCGAGCGAGGTCCTGTCGTGATCGGGCTGGGGCCGGCCTCGAATAGGAGTTGGTGGTCTTTGATTATTAAGCTCCTACAATGACACAAATAAGGTATCAAAATTGCTGCAGATTAGTAAACATTTTGATTTAGTTCTCTTATCGACTAACAATCTGTAATTGTAGTTATTTAATATCCATCTGGAAGGATTTCATGCTGTCCGATAAGGTTAATGAGGATGGTGATTATTGCCGGTAAACACTTATCAAGTAAATGGTCCATTACCCGGTAAGTGCTGATCGGGTAAGAGTGTTCTCCCCTAATTACTGGAGAAGATTCTTGGTCCTTATTAGGGTGAGTTTGGTATAATTATAACATAATAGAATAGGGGTCACTGTCTCACGTTTGACAAGACTTTTACATGGAACAGAAGTGAAACAAACCTATATTTTACTAATGTAGCCTTAAAATTAAACCTAATTCTCTTTTAAAACATTAAATACAATTCTTTACATTTTATTCATTCTTTAAATTTTATTTATTGTATTCTATGCTCTTTAAACTTTCATTTTACCTCGTATTTTTACAAGGTATCTATATATTAGTTAATTTATATAATTTATTAAATATTAATAATAAAAAAATAATATAGGAAAGATATACAATAAAAATTGGAAACTACATAATTATTTTGGTGTCATTTTAATCTTGTTGAAGAAAACTATTTAATAATATATTTTATTATAAAAAATATTTATTTTATCATAATTTAATAAATTAATCAAAATATATAAACAACACATTAGGGGTAAATTGGTCATTTTATTTGTTCTGTCTTGTCCAACTGTGTCTTACCAAAGCTGAATAGTTGTTTTGTCTTGTCTTGTTTAATCCTTGTCTAGATATCAAAGCACTCATCGAGTAAGATTCTTGGTTCTTGCATGCTCATCCAATAAGGCAATAAACACTTACCCGACAAGCGTTTGATAAACTGCCCCTTAGAGACGCCTACCAACTATCCATTTTGACGGTTGATAAGGTAAGTGGCCTTTTACCAATCGCTTACCTGGGTAAGCGTTTACCAAGTCAAATTAAGTTACCGAATGAATATGGTAAGGACCAAAAATCTTACGTGGTAAGAGCAAGACAAGGACCAAGAGTCTTACCAGGAAAGTGACATACCACGATTAGCAGTTACGGGATAAATTGTTGCATACAATGCCATATGATAAGTGCTTAGCTAAACGATCCCGTGAGTTGATAAAAATGAACAATTACCTGCATCCAGATGTGCTCATGCATGGGCTCTGAAGTTGTTTCCGATAGGAGTGGTGGCGGCAACGGATGAATAAGCTTCGGAACAACCACCAATCCTCTACCAATTACAAGTAAAGCTCCAGCATTATTGGCAGTCCCTGAATGCAAGAAAAAACGAAAAAATGAAGCTAGTAGTTATCAAGAAACAACACACCAATTGATTTAGAAAAAGAAGAGGGGGGAGGTTTAATGTTATACCACAATAGTTAGTAGCAGAAAAGAGGGTAATCAACTGTCCTTGTGCAAATCTTTCGAACCCATCCATTACACATTCGTGTGCTCTTATTATCATCTGAAGTTTGTTTCTTCTACAGAAGTCCGTTACCCTGTCAGGCTGCAAATACTTGTTACAATTCATATCACATTTATCAGCAAAAACTTGTTACAATTCATTTCACATTCATCTCCAATGGGCTGCAAATACTTGTTACAGTTCATGTCACATTTATCTGCAACTACTTGTTACAATTCATATCACATTTATCTGCAACTACTTGTTACCATTCATATCACATTTATATGCAACTACTTGTTACCATTCATATCACATGTACCGCTAGAGATGTAAGTTCTCATAGGAGTGAATCTATGGGGATTTTTGGCAGTTGTTGAATGGTTTGATGCAAAATGATTAAGAGGCAACCACAAGGGTGGTGCCTGATTGGTTTGAGCTTGGCTCCAAAGGTCATAAGTACTAGAAGGTCTCAGGTTCAAATCCAAAAGGGAATAAAAATCCCTTTGTGGTCATGGAGGTTCAAATGCGGCGACTCCGGGTTATCTGCAAAGTAGGTGGTTGCCCTAGGATTAGTCGGCTTGCATAGTGGGTTGGATATCCAGGTTAATAAAAAAATGATTAAGAGGCTCTCATGATAACACAATAAAATATAATTGTTTGGTAATTGTTTACAAGGAGATTAGGGCACTGAATGTTTAAGGGAGATCTAGGATACAAAATTATTCAAAGAGTTTTATAACCATTAAGAGAAACTTTTTTTTTTTCTAAACAAGATTCACCTCTTAACGATTCAGAAACTGTCTCTTAATAGAAGTATTAAAAGGTAAACAAACAAACCTTTTGTGGCTAAGAGACGCCATAAAGCTTCATTTTTTTTAGTTTTTATTAATATATTACATTTTTCTTGTTTAGGTTTCTTTTCTTTTCATTTGCTATTTCCTTTATTCCATTCGGGAAACTTTTTTCCCACACATTTTTTACAAGCCGTTTTACTCTTTTGCGAACATTCCACCCAACTCCACCTCCAACCAAAGGCGAATCCACATGGAATGATATGGTGGTACAAGCCATCATTTCATGGTTCAGTCTTAACGGGAAAAATTACGTTTCTGAGGTGTCATCGTATTGTTCTGTTGGGTGACACTATAACTTTTGAAACTGAAATGTTAGTACAAGATTTTAATGGCTAAGATGGTAAATGCTCTGGCCTTTGTACAAAAGGCCAAATTCGAGTTTCACAGTTGTCAAATTTGTTGTTTTTTAACTTAAATTTTGGTGTTTTTATATACCTCTTGTGTTTTTAAAAAATATATGTAGATTAGATTCAAACATGGCTCTCTTCTATGTAAGGACAAGGAAGGAACCAACACATCTATACTAATATTGTGAAAAAAAATTAGATACTTTTTTATTGTCAAATTATGGCACCACTTAAAAAAAATTATGGGTCTACCTATACCTCCGGCCAAGATATATTGGGCTCCTTTGGTTTACTGTTGAGAATACAAGCGACCAATTTCTATTTCTTGAAGTATAGATAGAGGTGTAAACGAGTCGAGCTTTTTATGAGCTACTTGAGTTCGTTTATCTCGAGCTCGAGCTTAATAATTATTGAGCTCAAACACAAAATAAAAAGTGTTTAACTTAACGAGTCGAGCTGCATAAAACCAATGTACCACTTTGCTCATTCGAAAACTTGATTAAATTTTAGGAGTCAAGCCAAGCCATTCGAGCATATACTTTTTCGAGCTGAACATGCTAATATGTTCATAAATTCTACAATAAGAAATATAAAAATTATCAACCTCGAGCCAATAAACGAGTTAATCGATTGTGAGTTCGAGCCCATAAACGAGCATCAAGCTCAAGCTCGATAACTCAAAAAATACTCGAGTTCAAGCTTAAATCTGGTATTTTTTTTTCAAGTTGAGCAACCTACTACTCAATTTGGCTTGTTTACATCCCTAAGTATAGACATGGATTGCGGTGCGATATTAATCCTATATGATGCTTACATGAATATAAAGTTTTTTTTTAAGTATATAATATTTATATACGACAAATGCAACAAATAAACTCATGCACCCTCTTTACCTTTGATGAGGTTTGAACCTTTGACCTCCTAGGAGGCCAAAGACTACGATACCGCTAGGCCAAAGGCCCTTTGGTGAATATAAAATTCATAATGTGCAAGTTAAAATGAATATTAAGCCATCGTCTAACACGAAAAGGTACATACATACCCCGAAAGTAACGAGACCAGGTCCCCTCGCATTTGGTCTTAAACCTTCCATGCTATCGTTTTCCGTGGGATCGGACCTAAAAGAAAAAAAGATGCATCAAGTAAGACGGCTTCGAAGAAACCCGAATCCTATATAAGCAAAACTTACCATAGCAAAACCAAAAGGTCGTTGGTCCAACAATATATGTCGACACTCGACTCAAGTAGGTTCGATTCGATATACTAATGAGTCAAATCGAGCTATTTATTCACTACTTGACTAGAAAAGCTCGTGAGATATTTGATTTTTTACATACAACTAGTTTTGTAATATAATTTGTAAAATATAATATTAAAAAATTAGTTCAATTGTTATTTTTTATTAATTAAAAAAAGCAAAAGAACCAATAAAAAGGTTTGACATAGTTATCCTTACATTGAAAAAGAGATGGTAACAAAAGAGTTAAAAAGAGATGAAAGTGTATTTTTATGATGGAATTTGATCCTAAGAGTTCTATAAATTTCAAGACTACATCTTTTTTAAGTTTTCAATTTATAAGAACAAACCCTTAAATTTCACAATTTTTAACGTGTAAGTTGAGAAAACATCAAGTCTTACTCAAGCTTCAAACGAATTTGAGTTTTTGAAAAATTACTATCGAGTTTGGATTTTGATTAATTGCAAGCTCTTGAGTCGAGCTTGAGAAAGTGTCGTCAAGCTCCACTTGAATACACCGATATTCAAGCTCGACTTGCATCTACCTCACTAGTACCGGAGGTCAAGAGTTCAAACCTTATAAAAGGTTTAAAAAAGTGTGTATATAATTATTAGAGTAAACTACAAATTTGGTCCCTATAGTTTGTAAAAAATAACACTTCTGGCCAAGAGTTCAAACCTTATAAAAGGTAATAAAAAAAAACTGTGTATATAATTATTAGAGTAAACTACAAACTTGGTCCCTAGAGTTTGTAAAAAATAAACTTTTGGCCCCTATTGTTTTAAAAGTACAAGATGACTATCGTGGTTTGCCAAAACGTCTATATTTGGTCTCTCCTGTCATTAAAATTCTGTTAAATAAATGACATTTTCATTCTTTTATTGGATATTTTTTACTTAATCAACAACCACAAGGACCAAAACCATTGATTAGGTAAAAGACAAAAAAATCCATAAATAGTCGAAAATACCCTTCATTTAAAGGAGTTCTTTAACGACCGTTAGAGGAATAAACCAAATCCAAATGTTTTTACAAACCATGGTGGCTAATCTTGTAATTTCGAAACTAGACGAATCAAAAGTGTTATTTTCGACAAATTACATCAAATTTGTAGTTCTCTAATTATTATTAGAGTAAATTGCATTTTTTGTCTCTGTGGTTTGTTAAAAAAATTGCGATTTTCATTGCCGTGGTTTAGAAATTGGGATTTTCGTTCCTATGGTTTGTGACTCAGTTGTTATTTTCATCCTTATAATTCACAATTTATTGTTGTTTCGGTCTATGTCATTTACAATTGTTTATTGTTTTGGTCCCTTGTACTTAGGAGTTAGCCCATGGACAAAAATAGCAATCAATTGCAAACCATAAAGACGAAAATCGCAATTTCTAACAAACAACAGAGGCGAAAAATGTAATTTATTTAAAAAAATAATTAGAGTAAACTACAAATTTGATGTAATTTGTCAAAAATAACACTTTTGGTTCATGCAATTTCGAAATTACAAGATACTTCGTGGTTTGTAAAAAGGTTTGGATTTGGTCCCTCCCTCTCAAGATCGTTAAAAAACTCCGTCCAATTAAGGGTATTTTCGACCATTTATCGATCACTTTTGTCTTTTACCCAATCAAAATCAATTATATGTCTTTTACCAGAGGAACAAAATTCGAAACTTTTAACAAACCACAGGGAACAAAAATCATAATTTAGGGGCCGTTTACCGAACACTTACCCAGGTAAATGCTTACTGGCAAAATTCAACACTATCACTTACTGATAGTTCACCAAAAGGGTATCATATGCAAGAAATTTACCCGGTAAGCGCTAACTGTGGTAAGAGTCGTCGTCCTCATTTACCGGGTAAGACTATTGGTGCTTGCCTTTACCCTTACCGGGTAAGATTCTTGATTCTTGATCCCTGACATATGCATCTAATAAGATTGGTAACTGCTAACCCAGGTAAGCATTTGGTAAATGGCCCCTTACTCTTATTATTATATAGTTCCAAAGATTAAAGAACTTACCACAGCAAATCCATCAAGACAATAGATCCTGCATCCATGGTTATGGGTCTCTCTAGTCTTTCAATCTGTTCAACTAAATGAATGGATCTCCCTATGCCACCATGCATACATATAATCTTGTTTTCAATAAGTGCTGCCAGTGGAAGATGGTTAAATAGTTGATTGAACCTTTGCCATGCCCATATCCCATCATGCTCTCCCTGTACTTCATACATACCAATAAGCAGAAAAAAATAAATCTTTGTAAACAATAATTCCAAACTTTTCTACACACATACCATTCTCTCGATGCATTCGAGACGGAAACCGAAGAGCGCGTTTATATCAGCGGCCTCGTGATTCCCGCGAATTAAGTGAAAGTTTTCAGGATCATGAATCTGAAGTAAAATGAAAGATTCTAAGGTTAGTGAGCATCAAATATTGAAATAGACGAGTAAAGTGGGATCAGAGCATCTCCAACAGATTTTGTAAAATGGAGAAAATTGAGATTTCTGGAAATTATCTAAAATAGCTGATCTCCCTCCCCCTCTTCACTATATAGCAACATTTTCAACTTATTGACGGAAATAGCTGAGTTTACGCAACTTGCTTAACTCACTTTTTTCAATATAATATTCAGGAAAAATAGACATTACTTAAGTTGCGTAACGTATACGTGGACAATCTATGTGGCATACACTCCTCAACTAGCAGTTACGCAATTCTTTTTTTCTTTTAAATATTATATTGAAAAAAGTGGATTATGCAAGTTGCATTTTATGTGTGTAATCTTGGCTATTTCAGTCAATAAGTAGAAAAGGTGACTATAAAATGTGTGTGTGGGGTGTCAGATCGGCTATTTTGGACAATCTCCTTGCTCCAAAAAATTCTCCAAAACTTCCTCAAAAATAGAAAGCAAGAGAGCGCGGAATCTCTCAGAAATGATTATCATAACAGAGATTCCAATATTTTATTATTTTCTCACCAATAAGAAACGTTGATGTTAAATGTTTATTTTTATTCCATGTATACAATATTTTAATAATATAAATAATCTCCAAAATAGATAATATATTGGAATTGAATGTAATTTTTTTGAAGATTTTGAGTTTGATTCTCAATGTTGGAGAATCTGTTGGAGATGCTCTTATAAAGTAGAAGCTTGCCTTTAGAGCAAGTAGCAAAGTGATGGTCTCCAAGCTATGTTGTCCTCTATCAACATAATCTCCAAGGAATAAATAGTCAATATATCTGAAAGGGGGTAAAAGATGATCATCAAGTCCTTGTTTTTCAATAAAAGGTTAATTTGAAGAATCAAATCGAATGAACGACAAACAAAATTCAAAAATATGTGGTACCATGTACACTGAGTGTCAGAATATGAGGAAACCTATTGGCTCTAAAAAAGCCTTTAAAGAGAGAAAAGAGGTTCTAACATATATCGAGGAGAAATGATCTAAGTCTAGCTAATGTAGGACTCTTAAGTCTTAACACACCCCGACCAAGGCTCTGACACATGTGAGAATGTGTGGACTGTGGAACCCCATTAGATTACTGTCCAAAAGAGCCATAGAAGAAAGAAATGAGGTTTTAGCATAATTTGAGGAGAAATGATCCAAGTCAAGTCTAGTCGATGTGGACTCTTAACATGCCCCGATCAAAGGAGGCAAGATGGGAACAAATTGTCCCAAACTGTTGAGTCCTTAAAGTGGTATACCTTAGCCCTGATAATATGTGATTAAACTAATCTCCAAAAGAGCCCTTGAAGAAAGAAGGGAGGTACTAACATATATGGAGGAAAATGATCCTAGTGTAGCCAATATGAGACTCTTAGCACGCCCCTACCAATGGAGGCTAGACAGGTACAAATGGTCCTTGAGTGTAAGTCCGTGAAGTGGTATATCTTAGCCTTAAAACCATGTGATAATATGTAGAACCCATTAGATTAACTCCCAAAAGAGCCCTTGAAGAGAGAAGAAAGGTTCTAACGTATATGGAGGATAAATGATCTGTATAGCCGATGTGGGACTCTTAGCACGCCTCTACCAACAGAGGCTAAACGGGCATAAATTGTCCTAGAGTGTCGAGTCCCTAAAGTGGTAGACCTTGGCTTTGATACCATGTGAGGATATGTGGAACACTGTTAGATTACTCTACAAAAACCCTTGAAATATATATTGAGGAGAAATGATCCAAGTCTAACCGATATGGAACTCTTAACATGCCCCCTCTAACTGAGGCCAGACGGAAACAGACTGTCCCAGAGTGGCGAGTTCCTAAAGTGGTAGACTTTGGCTTTGATACCATGTAAGAATACACGGAACCCCATTAGATTATTCTCCAGAAGAGCCCTTAAAGACAGAAGGGAGGTTATGATTCAAGTCTCGCCAATATGAGACTCTAACGGTGAACTTACGTTATATCTCCAGCAGCGGAAGGGAAGCCGTATTCATCAAATAGTCGCATCAGATCACCAAACTGTCCATGTAGATCACCAAACACTTTGATCGGAGCTCCCAACTGAAGAACCGTTGGCTCGTGCATAAAGATTTGCTCGGCAGCATAGCAAAGCTCTCCCACTTCATAAGAATCGAGAAAAAACTTCCTGTTCGCAGGGGGTTTCCAGTTTTGAGGCTTAAGCAAAGCAGAAATGACCTGAAAAAGGATGCATTATAATCTGCATTTGTTAAGCAAAGCAGAAATGACCTGAAAAAGGATACATTATAATCTGCATTTGGCATACAACTTCTAAGCACACTATCAGCTATGCTGTTACAGCAATTAAAATACCAAATCGCGAATCAATACTCTGATTTGAAATAGCGGTTATCGTTGTGGTATAGCGATCCAAAAATAACGGTTCATATAAATTTTTTAGAATTATATACGATACATATATATATATAGGGTTGGGTTCACGGAAGACCAGTCTGTTTTCGTGAGACACGTGACAAAACATTTTTACACTTGAAACTTCACAACAGAATGTTGTGAAGATAAAAAAATCTGAACCTTCACAGCAAAAACACTGTGAAGGTTACAGGTTACCTTCACAGTGTTATGCTGTGAAGTTTCAAGTGTAAAAATGTTGTCTCACATGATCCCAAGTCTCTCTTCTCTATATGTATATGGAAAGGTTCATTTCAACGGTGGTAAATATTTGAGAATTAAAGAAGTGATCCTAGCCCTTCATCTGGTCAACATTTGCGGTTTGATCGTGAAGCATAAGATAATTCCTGACATGGGTATGCAGAAAATAGAGGGATAGTTTCGTAACTTTTACAAATAGACGGCAAACTGGTTCATATGTGAACCCATGTGATACACATATGAACTATTTAACTGGCAGATTCATATATGAATCAGTTAATTAGTTCATATGTGAACCACACAGGTTCATATGTAAATCAGTTAATTAGTTCATATGTGAATCACATAGGTTCATATGTGAATCAGTTAAAATAATTCATATGTGAATTACACGAGTTCACATATGAACATATATAGTTAATATGTGAATCACATAGGTTCATATATGAACCCGTTTGTTGCCTATTTGTAAAAGTTACGAAACTACCCTCTCTATTTTTCGCCGCAATTTTTGACCAGTCAAAGCCGCAATTATTGACCAGTCAAAGCCGATCTTGACCGTATAAAGGGTCATGATCACTTATTTACTTCTCAAATATTTACGATTTCTCAAAATACTATTTGGCTATATATATATATATATATATATATATATATCATGAAATATAAATAACTTAACATACTATGTGTAATCAATATAAAAAAGAAATTCACTAATAACTTAGAATGTTGGTGGAAGGATTTAGTAAACACGGTTGAATGCTCGATGTTGAAAACCTAAATCAAGTCCAAGTCCAAAATAAAAGGTCAAATCATTTAAATAGGTCCAATATAAGCCGATTAAAAAAAAAAAAAAAAGGCCAACCACAAATTGCAGTTATATGGACTGCTATTTTTGTGTAAAAAGCGGCCTTTTAGCCGTAAATCACACCACAATTCTTGGGACCCGCTATTTAGGACGGAGCATAGACTACCAGTATACCACAAAAAAGATGTACACAACTTGTAAATCTTACCTTCTTATGCAAGCCTTGAGGTGATTTTTGCCTCATGAACCTTTTAGCAGGATTCGAAATGTCATTATGAAAAGGTATCATACGTCTACTCTCGTTTTCAAAATGATCCAAGGACAACTGCCTTACCAACCCACCCATGTTTCCTATGGCTTCTCTAGCAATCACAACCTGCACCACATGCTCCTTGGTATAATTAAGAATGAAATACACCAAACCCAACTAACATGGTATATGATAGGGGGTGTGAATGATTCGAGCTTCTAACGAGCTACTCGAGCTAGAGCTTAATGATGAAGAGAACACATACAGCTCTAGGGTGAAGTTGCACATCTTGTGGTTTATCACTACCATCTGAATTGGTCCCTGCAACTTGTGAGTTAGCACTTGAAATCATCATCTCTTTTGGAGTTGCCATATGCGTTTGTGCAGCTTGCCAGACGGAATTAGGAGCACTAGCTTCAGCCAGCCTATGAGTAGATTCTTTGTCCACACTGAAACATTAAAGTGTGTTTCATAATTGAAAAATACACAAGGTACAAACTTTTTGCATATATATAGAGGGTCTTTTGATTAAATGACGTTCTGAAAAGTTTCTTTTAAATCCATAACCATCTGACAGGTTTGAAAATGACACTACTTAACAGAAGAAACGCTACTTCTTTACACAAGAATGTCCCTAGTTTATGTTGTGAATAGAATTATCATTTAAGATCAATGGCCTAAATACCGCTACATATAGAGTTGGTTGTAGGGCCAGAAGGGAAAATAAGCGTAACCTTAAGTCAGCAGGCAAGGTACTTTCAGGTCCGTCATCATGCGATATAGGATCAAATGTGCACTTGGAAGTTGTCATGTTTGAACCCCTTTCAGATGTTAATCCAGGATTATTGGCATCAGAATGAAAGGGTGAATTCTCTGCTCCAAGAAAATCATCTAACAACACATCTGCAGCACATGGATCAAATAATATTATCTGAAAAGACATGAAATAAATAGGTAGCACATAAGACTTTTCAGAGATTCTTTTGAGCCTATGCAAGAGACAAGTAGGTGGGTGAAAGAATTGGGGAAGGTTTTATGGTTTTAATTCGACATGGGTATTTGGGTAGTTTAGTAATTTAACAGTATTGCCCCATCTTCCTTAATTTTTGTCTCATCTATTTTGGTGCATTTTTGTCCCACTTAGGGGCCGTTTTACTAAACGCTTACCGGGAAAACGTCAATGGGTACGCGCTTACCAACAAAAGTCACCACCTTAACTTACCTTATCTGGTAACATTCTTGGCCATCAAAATGGATTATTGGCAAGCGTCTTTTACTTGGTAAGTGCTTAACGGGCAAGAGTCTTTTCCATCACTTACCGGGTAAGATCCTCGGTCCTTGTCATGCTCACCCGGTAAGGTAAGTGACATCCGGTAAGCGCTTATCTGGTAAGAGTTTGGTAAATGGCTCCTTAGTCCCTGTCATGTCCACTCTATTGTCGCACCAAATACAGGACAAGTTTTTATTTTGTACTATCCCACGTAACAAGCATACGTTCCATAACAATGACCTCAGCTCACATTATTTCAGTTGACTTTGGAAAATTTTCTTTAAATATACATGATACATAACAATGTAACACATGAAATTCTTCAACCTCTTCTTCGGGAACATGATAACATGCTTTCTGTCCTGTTACAATTCTGTTATTGTGATCATTCTTTGTGGGAATTTGTTTTTCTGGGTACTCAATTTACTGGTGAAAGCTTACCTCCCCTGAGACCACCATACACAAATATACGAGAACCAACAGATGAAATGGCATGCCGACAACGGTGCATGAGCTCCAAAGATGGATCATCAGTTTGCCCGTTGCTAGAGTGTGAAGAAGTCACCAAGCCATGCCTATCCAACCAAACTCCAGCAGCACTGTCGAACACTGTAAAATGTAATCATATTGCAAAGATTCTATATTTTCGTCATTGAATCAAATACAATTGCAAGATTCCATATTAAACCAATATTAACCTGCAATGGCTGCTTCACCCTCGACTACCCGCCCTCCCCTAAGTGCACCTCCTATGACATGCAATCTAGAACCAACAAAAACCTGACGACAAGGAAACGAGTTTCTAAATAGGAACACTAAAATTAAAACCATGAGATTCAGTGCATCATGTGTTATGTCCGATGGTGTTTTATTTATCTAAGACTATGATTTAAGTATTGACTAACATATATTTGTTTTATAACGTGGAAAGTTTTTGCATGTTGTAAAACAAACAATAAATGTAAAAAAGGGTTGTACATCGTGAAACAAATATATGTTAATCAATACCTTAAATTATAAATTATAGCCTCAAATGAAAATATCACGTTGAACAATATCTAAAGGTAAAAGTTCTCAAGGTTCTCAATCATTTTGTGGTTCTTATTTGATTATGTCTCTACGTGCTTCATATGAAAAGCCATTACTTACCGCAGCATGTTGGTATCTTGATGATGGCGAAACTCCAGGTGCAAGATTCCATTCCCATTGTCCATTTCTATGCATCAGCAATCCATAAGCATCTGATAAGGGCTGTAGATGCACATATACAACCAATCGTCAGCAAAATAAACGTGTTCCGCGACAGCAATATCGTACGTTACGCAATGACAATCATGGATAATTAAATACAAGCTTTGATAATTTTTTCAGTTCAAAGTTTACTTTGATAAAATCTTTCAGGTGCATCTGATATCTCAGTACAGACGCACACATGCATATATATATATATATATATATATATATATACACATACATATATACATCTTTCAGGTGTACCAATAACATGTAGTGGGCCTAGAACACATACAACTAAAGCTTAAATATGAATTAAACTCGCAGGAACTCCAAATTGAAGCCAGTATGACAAGAAAAAGAAAAAGTTATGTCTTCTAGAGGTTAAAACAATGCATGCAGATATAGCTAGCGTACATACACAAAACATTATGGAATGTTGCAATGGTCTTCACATTGGTTTACTTGATTAATATTGATAGCCCATATGTCTAACATGAAACAGTTAGCTTGTTAACAAAGATATGCTCAATAAACAGATAAAAACCCACATATGATCTAAATCTAGAAACATTAACCTTAGTGAGTTAAGTGCCCAAGCTAATTATCATACAAAATGAATTGCGAAAATAAAGCATAGTGAATCTGTCAGAAGCAATGTCTTTTTAAGTGGCATGCGGATTTGCATTATGAGAACGATAAGGCCGATGTCATCTGCCACGAGTAGCATGCAAGTAACAATAGCTATTGAGCCCCACTGCCCCCGTAAAGGCAAATTAAAGCTGCCTTAAAACTGCAGTCAGAATGCCACGAATCTCTATCAGGAAGTTATCGGTAGTATTATACTTAAGCAAACACAGAAAGGATAGGTCGTACCATGCCTGAGGAGTCTCTTCCACCACAAAGCAAAAACAAACCATCAGAACGGGCACTAGCTGTTGCATACCTGCAGAGAGGAAAAACAAAAACGTGAAATGCATGTGATGTTAAAGGTATACACAGGCTATGTAGACGCAGAACTGCCACAAGTGATGAAAGAATGACCAGCATAAGCAGCACATACTTATTGTGCCAGGGGAAACTGTAGGAAGCATACACAAACATATAAACATATAGGAAGCCCATCCATTCCTAGTGTAAGAGGGGACTGGACTTTCACCCAGCCCATTTACACTGTTGATTCAAGATTCGGCAATATATTTTATGGTGAAGAAAGAGCAAAGGGATTTCAGTTTAAGCTATTTTTGGTACTATCAGGCAAAGACAGCATGTAAAAGGACATGCCAATCATGAATTCGTGACTTTTCTGAACAAAAATCCTGTCTCAGATAAAGGCAATAATGGATTGGGCTTCCTATGTGCATATATGGGAAAATAGTTTTGAGTTTCCTCTCATGGTGAATAGTGTCTGTGGAAGAGAGCTCTACCACCTGTGACACATGCTCCTATATGTACATATACATAGGGATTATGTGGCTTAGCCACCTACAAGTTAGGTATGCCATAAAATCGAAACTATAATGTTTGGGGTAGCAAAAGAAAACCATCTTTGATCTTCTTCTCCGTACTCACTGTCTAACACCCTTTATCACTAATTCTCTAGGTCCTATACAGCATCTCTTCTTCAATATCATTCAAGAAAAATATGTTTGTCCCTCTCTTGTGTTCTTCTGTTCTCTTCCATGATCTCAAAGTCTTCTCTAGTGATCTCCATGGTAAGAGCGTAGTGTTTAACCATGTATGACAAGTCAATAGCATCGATTTTTAATTCAAGACCTCCCTTTGTTGACCTATGTAGGCTCCTAGAGAATCAATCTCTAACCACATCTGCTTATTTTCTTCATCCTCCTCTCCGTCCCCTATTTTGTAACTACTTTCCCTTCACATCTCTTCATTTGGGAGTTCACTTTTTTTTATAAAGAAGTCTGTAGATTCTGGAATCATAAAGTTAAATTGGTTTCTTCTATTTCTCACTACAATGGTACAATGTTATTACATACGTAATACACAATACTAAAAAGGAAATGAATTAACCACAAAAGTGGTGCCTGATTGGTTTGAGCTTGACTCCAAAGGTCAAAAGTACCAGGAGGTCCCAGGTTCAAATCCAAGGACGAATAAAAATCCCCTTGTGGCCACGAAGGTTCAAATGCGGTAACTCCGGGCTATCTGCAAAGCAGGTGGTCGCCCTGAGATTAGTCGGTTCGCATAACGGGTTGGATATCCAGGTTAATAAAAAAAAGGAAATGAATTAAATTAATACGGGAAACAAATCAACCTAACTCCCTTACTGGTAGAGATTGACTATTAATTATATTCTCTTTGTATGACTGTATCTTGCCTTATTTACAGTTGATTCCGAGATTTTCTACACTCTCCCTCAAGCTGGTGAAAACAAATCCTCCATTCATAGATTGCTTTTATTCTCTGGGCATTTTACCATAACAGTTGCTATTTAGGGATAAATTTGGGCTGCAGACATAACAAGAGAAGAACAATAAAAAGAACCAGCATGGAGGAATCAGTGATGGAAAAGGAAGGTCCAGAAGAAATTAGTGATACCCAAATGACATAATAGAAAAACCATGGAAGTCAAAGATGCCCTCAGAAGGAGCACCAAGTGGTTACATGCTAAAGCATGCATGCAACATGAAATATGGAATAGAAAGTTTTCTTGTTCTTGCACACCTAAGCTTATTTGTGACCAACTCCCTACCTCACATATATGAATGTATATACCTGCATAGACAGAAGTAAACTGGAGGAATTGACAACACAGATTTTCCAGCCAAATGTGATGTTCATTATCTTCTTGTAACTTAAAGGCTCAATACAATTGAAGAAGTCTAGGTACTGACTACCAGCCAAAAAATGTTCAAAGACAGCATTACAAATCACTCTATGAAAGCATACTCCACTCTTTAAGTATGTTTTCTTCACCAAGGATGATTAAATGCAAGTTTCAGATTTCATTTATAAAGCACAAATTCTAAGGGGGTAAAAAATAAGCTACAACCTTAGAGATAAGAACAAATATGCAAGATCATCAAATTCATGACACAAGTGCCCTAGAGAAGTTCCAATACTGCACTCACAATTGAATACATACTTACATTCTAGCAGAAGGTTTATCACCATCCGTGTTGAGCCTCAGCCATGCATATGGTTTTTGAGCCGTATCCAATGCCCAGGCATCTGAAAGCACTTTCTTTCCTAGGGAAACCAAATATGTTTATGAACGATAGGAAATATATGTTATGTTCAAACACTAACAAAGATAATAGTTGCAATAAATGCTGGAGTATGGAGCTTCAGGTTGTAGGATAGTATGCCGTTCACTTTTTCACAGAACTTGCTACAAATGGGGAGAGACTGAAGCAGTAAACACATTGAACTGGTGAAAGTGAGTTCTAGCCTGTATGGATCGATCTAAATTCTCACTTAATTCAACCACTCGCTGAGTACAGAATTAAGATGTAGGATATGGGCATATAGGTCACCAAAGTAAGCTTTTACTCATTGCAACTATTCAAATTCATATGCAGTAGGTGAAAAAATTCCAGGGAAAAAGAATGGCCAATGTTGACGGCCCCTTCACTAATAGAAACTTGAGAGGGAGATTAAATTTGAGATGGATATTTATTCTAATCCTCCCTATGTCCCAAAATAAGCGTCCATATTTCTCTAGTCTGTCCCAAAATAAGTGTCCATTTCCAATCATTACTCCCTAAAGGTAATATTATCATTTAGTTCATCAAAAAGTATGATAATTACACATTTCTAAACTGTGCACATATTTCATTGTAGACATTTGTTTTGGCATGGAGCGATAGTAAATAAGAGATAAGTAGAAGCCGATAACTTCTGTAGATTATTCTTCCTAGAGCACAAGAAAGCTACCGCAGTATTGTGTATGTGTGATTGCTGTAGTCCAGCTAAAACTTATCAAACAGAACTAAATTAAGCTAGCAAATTGAGCATCAAATAGTCAAAGACCTTCCAGCCTAGTGGTAAAGGCTTGGGCATGGCATAGTCATGAACCCGAGTTCGAGCCCTGGGAGGGAAGTGTTGGCGACATTTAAGTGGGGCCATGTTTAGCCTCCAAATTTGCCAAGGATTAGTCGGGCTTTGGCCCGGACACCCTTACAAAAAAAAATTGAGCATCAAACAAAACATTTACAACCATAATAGCAATGAGCATCTTTCACCATCTTGGAACTTAGCATCAGCATGAATTATGCAGGATGACTCCACTAAATCATCAGGTTTGTTCTTCTAATAAATAGATGCCTTGCCACCAGTTGGATTCAAAGACTGCAGATGAGCTCTCTACAAATAATTTTAGATCTTGATAGACCTCTATTTCAGAAACTCGGAAAATATACCATGATAGACCCCTATTTCTACATCAAAATGAATGAAAATTTAAGAACACATGTTAACTAAATGCAAATTGCGCTCACCATCATTTCCACTAACTGTAACAAGGTATCGGTGGGCAACCAAGTCCATGGCATGGCCATAACGAGGGCCAGGACCCTGCCCTTGAACAACAACTCTGCACTCAAAAAACAAGAACCAAATCAACACCTAAGGGCAAAAAACATCAAAATAGGAAGGATATAAGTCGAAACCTTCATTGAAGAAGCTTACCTGTGCCATTTGTATTTGTCATTAGTCAAATCGAGCACAAAAAGATCATCAGTCGAATGCCCAGCAGGGCCTATGCCACCCTAGCAGTGTGCACCATCAATTTTATCATAAATCACAATCATAACTCAAAAAATTAAGCATCATCCATTCTCATGGTTTTTTGGGGGACATATTAATCACCTGATATACAACCATGGTTCCAACAGCAGCAGCTGCATGAGCAGCCCTGGGTGAAGGGGCTTCCCCGGCCGGTCGCATTCTGAAAAAGTATCCGCAAATCAACATTTGATTTCTAAGCAAATTATTGGATATAAATGCAAGAACGATGTAGAATTGAAGCAACCTGGTCCATTTTTTAGTAAGAAGATCATACGAATGAACAGAATTCGTCACCCCTGCTAATCCTGAAATTAAAAATTAGCAAACAATTGTCATTATTGCAGATACTAGAAGAAATTATATAATAAGTTAAGAAAGGAAGGAATAATTACGGATGCCAGGGTTGGCGGAGGAGGCGCCACCTTCAATGGCGGTAGCGCCACCGAATAAAATAAGACGAGGTCCATGAGATTTGGTTGGGGCAACGGCTGTAAGAGTATGGCCACAACGAGGGCCAGGGGCGTCATCATCTGTATCCCAATGCGTCTCCAATGGGAAATATGTAGGAGCCGGATGAAGCGACGACTTCGAATCCATCAAAATCAAAACCAAAACCCCGAAAAATACTTGTAACAAATCACATCATATGAATGATCTAACTTGTCCTCTAATCGCAATAACAAACAAAAATATGAAAATCGGATCAAAGTAAAAACCACCTCCGTGCGACGGCGGAGAAATGAAGGTGGTGAACACCGTGATCAGCCGAGGGTTTTGGCACCTTAACCAGCGTTATCTATGTATCTATATCGATGCACGTTAAAGGAGATGGAATTAGATGAATCAGAATCAAAAAACCAGGAAACTTTCGCAATGTGATTGATCATTTGAATATAGTACTGAAATTGAATTGAATTTGGCGGAATCACAGAATAGAGATGAAATCAGAATAAAAAATTCCAGAAAATTACCGCAATGTGATTGAGCATTTGAATCTAGTACTGAGATTGAATTGAAATTTGATGGAATCCCCAAAACAAAGATGAATCAGAATCAAAACCAGGGGAATGGAGGAGAGACGACGGACGAGGAGAGAGAGAGAGGCGGCAATATGGCAACTGAATTTGATAGCGAATTTTTTCCTTATGAGTAAATTACGTTTTTAGTCCCTGTGGTTTGTTAATAATTACGATTTTCATTCCTATGGTTTAAAAGTTATATCTTTCATCTCTACGATTTGTAATTCATTGTCATTTTCATTTTTACAATTACAATTTATTATAGTTTTGGTTGATATGGTTTACAATTATTTATTGTTTTGATCCCTTATACTTAAAGGTATGAATTCATCTGTGGACGAAAAATCAAAGTTTTTAAACCACAGGGACGAAAAATGAAACTATTAACAAACCACATGGACAAATTGGATAACCGGTTATCATGTTGAAATGATGAGTGATGCGGTATCCAACTCAGTATTATTTGCTGAATTAGTTAGTGAGATGAATTTTTTTTATTTTTTATCTAAAATTAATCTTTTTTAATCTAAAATTAGTCTTCAACCGGTTACCCGGATACTTAAATGTTTAAAACTTTACATATTAGGAACCAAAATAAAAGTTCTGAAGTACGTTATCCAAAATAGAAATCATGTTAAAATACGTTACTTTTTCATGTAATTTGCGTTTTTAACCGTTTAAATATTATGAGATATTATCAAATAATTTGTGAATAAGTTACAACAATTAAATTGATATAATAATCAAAACATTTTTTTTTTTGCTAAACCTACTTAGAATATTTTTAATAAGCAAAATCATTTTACAAAAAATATGTGGATCACGATTAATTTTAGAGTGAATTACATTTTTGGTCCCTATAGTTTGTCTAAATACTGATTTGTTTCTCTTAAAGTTGCTAACTGATGGTGTTAACTCCAGGAACCTTGATTATTATGAAATTGAAAAGTTAGAGACCACCAATGTAGATAGTTTATCCTAGGAACCAAATCAAAAATTTGAGCAAACCATAGGGACCACAAGTATATATTATTTTCTATTGTTGTTATAAAACAACCAAAGGAGGTTGAACTTGACTTATAATAAACATGTAATGACACACATCATTTTTTTGTGACGAGTCGGTTGAACTTCCAAACCGACGTACACGTTTCATGTTCAAATTCGTTAATCCAGGGCTCTGAATCCGACTGCAAATATTTACACGTTATTTGTGGTTTTGCTTTATTTTGTTTGATAATCAGATCGCATGAAATAAACAGTTTCTGAATTTCATGTCTTCTTTTAGAAAATAATCGATCTTGCTAATTTTCGGGTTCTTTTTGAAACTTGAATTTTTAACCTTGATTATACATTGAATATTTCTAAAGTTTTTAAGTTTTCTGATTTATCAATGACATAAAGTATAAATGTACATATTTCATAAGATAAGTGTACGGTGTAGAGTAAATCACAGATTACTGGTAGTAATAAAACTGCAAAAGATATTATTAATGATGTCATAAACAAGATGACTGTAAACTACTGATTATCTCATAAATTATTCTCTAGCTAGAAATATGTTACATACAAAAGATAGAGGATTTCTCTCAATCTTCTGATCTGTTCGGATGGTATGTGTTGAGCCTAAGGGCACTTAGGTATACCATCTTGTGTTTTCCTATC